TGCTGCCCCGTTTCGCCGCGCACCATAGCCACCTGTCACTAATCGCCACCACCCCCTGTCGGTCCCCCGGGGGGTCTACAGGCGATCTGCAGACTGACAGACAGACAGACACCTCCCGACCCGCACCGGTCCCTCCCGCCGCCCCCTCCCGCCTGCAGATTATGCCGCACCCCCACACGGATGCGGATGACCGCCGTATCGATGACCGACCCCACGTCATCCGGGCCAACCTAGCACCCGGGGGGGAGGGGGGAGGGGCAGGGGCAGGGGCTGCGACGGCGCCCGGAGGCAGCGGTAACGCGCCTAATACAGGAGGGGGGGGCGGCGCGGCACCCCCCACCGTCTCCGGCGGCGGCGGCAGCGGCGGAGGCGGCGGCGGCGGCCGCAACCCCCAGCCTGTCAACAGCAGCCCTCAGCAGCAGTTATCAGACATGCCGCCCCCGCCGGGGATGACGGCGGCACGGCGGGCAGCGGCGGTCGCTGCTGCTGCTGCGGCAGCGGCGGCTCAGGGCGGCGACGGAGGCCTGTCGCCGCCTCTGTGTGCCCCGGCTTCGACCCATCCCGGGGCTGATCCGGGTGCTGGTGTTGACAACATGTGGGAGGCTCATCCGGGCGGGAGGGGGGGGTTGAGCCGCGGCGGCCCCGGCAACAGCAACAACAACAACATTAAGCTCAAATACATGGTGAGTACGTTTATGTATGTATGTATGTATGTATGTATGTATGTATGTATGTATGCACATGTGTCTCAGCGTATCTGAGCCCGCCTAGTTAGCTAGCGGACTACTCGGTTGCCTCAACAGCTCCAACAATCCCCCAGATGACGACGGCGACGGCGACGATGATGAGCTCCCTTTTCGGAACCTCCCCCGCCTCCCTCCCCCCGCCCGCCTGAGGCTGGTGGGAGAGGGGCGTGTGAGGGACCTGGTGGGGGCCCGCTGCGGGGCTACGACTACCGCCACATGGCCGGTGCTGGCTGATCCCGCTCCTTTGATCCCGCTAAAAACTTAAAACCGTTCCCTAACGGTCCCACTGACACTTGTAGCTGGCACTTGTGCCGCATTCCTCCCCCCTTCCCGGGGCCCCCCGTTCGTGGTTCGGTTTCCCTCTCCTCCCCCCCCCCGGCCCTCTCTTCTTTCCTTTCTCCCCCCCCGGACAGCCACATGGCCCACTGTGTACGGCACTGACCGCGATTTGATCGGGGGCACCCTCGTCCTTGCCCACGTGCTTGTGTGTATGTATGTATGTATGTGTGTGTCTCCCTTGGTCCTTGGCCCTTGATGACGACGGCGACGACGACGACTGTCTCCCCCCCCCTCAGGGCCACCCTCCGCTCACATCCCATCCCCACGCACCCCACCACTTGGAGCACCCCATGATGGAGCTCATGGAGGGGCCCCCCGACGATAACGACATAGTGATGTGCGACGCGGGACCGCCGCCCGGTACGACAAGCGGCCGCGGCGGCGGCGGCGGTGGCGGCGGGTTCTTGGCCATGGTTCCCGACAGCATCATCACTCCGTCGGGCCATAAGCTGGCGGCGGCGGTGGGCATTGCTCTGCCGGCAGGCAGGGGCGGGGCGGAGGAATGCGACCCGCGGGATCTCCGGGGGGGTGGGCCACGTGGCGGCGGCGGCGGCGGCGGCGGCTTTGGTGGTATTTCCATGGACCGCACCCACTTGGGTCTGTCTGCGGCGGCGGCGGCGGCACTTGCGGGGTTGCAACCTACACTGCACAAGCAGTCGCGGCGTGAGTCGCTCTCCGGGGGGTGGGGTGGGGGG